TTTTTTTTGCCAGTGGTTGTAAACCAAGCCATTTAAAAATCGCGACACAGGCGATACGGTACTAGTCTAGTACAGATACTAAGTTAATCGACGGACACGATCACCTAAACGATATACGCTATAGAATACGATAGAAATCAAAACGTAACACGAAATTGTGAGGCTAAGTTTACCTTCATTTATCGGTTGACCACCGTGATCGTGACGTCATCGTCATTTTAGTGCTTATAATAGCGGCAAACTATACCACAAGCGACTCAAACGCTGAAAAGATTCCGACTTACCGCAAGCGGTTTCACGCACTTCACTCGTCCAAGAATGATAACGACAACTTTTAGCGGGTTAACAACACGAAAATACGATACATTTTTTAACCAGATGGGATTTTACGGCTCGCTGGCGAAGGAAATAAAGTCTTTATTAGTATATTTCTGAACAATATTCTCAAATATATATACACTAATCAAGTAATATGTGGTGGACCGGCGGTCTACCAGCTTTGGAGATTAAGTGGACCGGCCAAGATTTTAGTGGACCCGGTCCTCCGGTCTACCGTTAGTGTCGACCCCTGCTGATCAAAACCTCAAGACCGAGAAATGACATATGCAGTGCGTAGCACTGATGGCCGGACTTTTCGAAACGACATATGTAGTGCGTAGCAGCCTAAGGGTTAAATATATCAACTAAATTTAACTTATTGATAACTCTCTACATCGGTGTTAAGTATTTTTCATGTAGAACTGTGTGAGTGCAGTCGGCTTTACTCAACTCTAAGATGGCGGTCAAAAATCAACAGTGATAGAAGTCATTGATTTATGTCAGGAAAATGAGATTATTTGCATGTTTTGACTGAAATTTTTGCAATAATGCACAAAACCAAGTTCTAGGAACTTGTCGGTAACTCTGATAGCAAGGATGATGAGTTAGTGGGCTTCTTTTCATTAGATATTGGTGATGAAATCGGTGAAAACTTTTATCTTGATCCCTATGGTAGTAGAAGGATTTTGAAGATTTACGTTTATTTCCCCTATTTGGCCCCACCCCTCAGGTCCCAGGGGAGCCACACCCACCAATTATACAAAATTGGCTCCCCTTCACCCAATTATGCTCCACACCAAATATGGACCAATCCTTTCATTCCTACAGAAGGATTTTGAAGAATTTGCTATATTTCCACTATTTGGCCCCGCCCCTAAGCCCCCAGACCCACCATTTAGACAAACTTTGTGCTTGTTCGTCCAAGGATGCTTCTGACCAAATCCTTTCATTCCTACAGAAGAAGGAATTTTAAGAATATTTTTCTATGTTTCCCTTGGGCCCCACCCTTAAGGCCTCTGGTGAGCCAGACCAATGGTTTATACAAAATTGGTTCCCGACTACCCAAGGATGCTCCACACCAAATATGGACCAAATCCTTTCATTCCTACAAAAGAAGAAAGATTTTGAAGAACAATTTGCTTTATTTCCCCTATTGGGCCAAGCCCCTCAGGCCCTTGGGGGCCAGTCACACCATTTATACAAAATTGGTCCTTCTTCACCCAAGGATGCTCCACACCAAATTTTGTTAAAATCCGCTCCGTGGTTCATGACTAGTAGTGTAAAGTTGACGGATGCTGCGGTATGGCATAAGCTCACCTTGTAAGGACCAAGGTGAGCTAAAAACCTTGTTAGCTGAAATTACTTAGTGGCTGGGTCTAAGGGGAGGTAATTTTGCTAAGCAGTCTAAGAGTTTAACAGCTTGTGTTTGTCACACTCGCCTAAAAACAATAAACACATTTTTTTTTATAAAAGGAAGATTTAATATAAATTAATTAAATTGAAAGTTAATTCCAAATAACGTTTCACCTTAAAAAAATGTTTAAGGGCGAAACAACCTGTGTAAACAGGATTTCAGGCGAAACAACATGGAACCATAAAATTTCAATAATAAAAAGGGCATTTGAAATAAATCCCATTATTTCGTTATCTGTAAGGAATGCGTTGTGCTTTTTACTAAATTTGATACTCGTGGTAGATCAAGTCAGTGAAACATTCATTTATTCACAAGATTATGTTTTAGATTAATGTCCTTTTCTGTTCAAAACTCAACATGTTTTACTTCACTAATTCCTCTTTTAGTGCTAACTTTGTTACTGTGAACAGTATTTGCAAGTACTAGGTAAGCCTACTCATCCGAGGTGTTGTGCCCAACCGGTTTAAAATTGAGGATTCATGATATGAATTCACGGATAGAATTTCATTAACCAAGAGATAAAAAAAGGAAAACAATCAAATCCAGGACGAAAGAACACGTTCAGTATCAAAGCAGATACATCTACGACGTTAATATATATCTATGCATCAGGAGTTGGAAATGATATCCAATGAATGGTCGTTCACGATGTCACGAGGTTCCTTACTCCCAAGCCCAAGGTCAGAGGGAAATTATATCGATTTCGTCAATTCTCCGCTCCTTAAATTTGTTGAAAAAACAATCTAAAAATAACTTCTAATACGGGAAGCATATAAGAACAGGCGTAAACAATAGAAAATGATTCGTTATTCCCCCAAACAACTTCCACTTTGATCGAGAATGTGATTAGACCCAAACAAAGGTGTATTTAGTAATATTCATCATGGCGTCCTGCCGAACACTTTTTAGAATTTTTGAACCTCAGCAAATACATACCCTTTTCTATCTGACCGGCCCGATGAATCGAACATTCTGTCTCTGTATGACATGTTGGTTTTGTCTGTTTCTGAATTGCCAACACTATGTAAGTTGAAACGATGTTCTTTTGTCAGCGCTGTCGATCTTTCTGAAATACACCCTTGTGCTCGTACGACAAGACCGGATGGTGATATTCCTCCGCAATGACGTCACTGTCTAGACATTATAAAACATTCCAAATAAAGTGAGACATATTTTTTTAATGAATGGTAATTAAAAATATCATAATTATCAAGGTTAAAGAAAACTGTCTACTATTTTTCAATCGGTACATAATTAAATCTTTGATACACAGTGCACTATTTTTTCCGAACAGCATTTCCGCTACAGTATAGTATGTGAGACCCCAGCGCCACATAGTGGGCAACAACGCTAAACACGTGCCCGAAGTTGTTTCCGGTGAGGCGAATTAGGTATAGTAACTCTAACAATGGTAGAGGTTAGTATGAGATGGGTTCACTATGGAAGTTGGTTGGTATACCCATGTCAAGAACAATGTCAATAATGACCTTTGCAGAAATTATTTGTTGAAAATAGTGTTGACTTTGTCTGAAAAGTAATGTTTGAATGCAGAATTTTAGTGGCGCAAAATCGCAATGAATAATGAAATTAATGAAAAAACTTACCTGTACATGCATTCCTGAAGTATCCATGTATTGACTATGATCGAGGAAAATGTAAGAAAATGTGTCAAATCCCTAGAATGATGGCATATATTTCCACGGAATTAACCACAACTGACCATAAAGCCAACAAGGCTGACTGAAATTGGGGAAAAAAAGCATGCAAAGCAAGTGCGATTTTACCTGTACACCATTCAAAACACTGCAGATTGTTACTGGGGTGATTTGGCTTGACTTGTATCAATAGCCTTGTTAGCTTCATGAATAATTGTAAAACATCCAATGGAAATACATGCCATCATTCTTGAGATTTGAAGTATTTTCTTACGTTTTTCTTGATAATAGTCGATACACGGATACTACAGGAATGCATGTAACGTTACATGTAAGTGTTTTCATGAATTACAATATTCAATGCAATTTTGCGCCACTAAAATTCTGCATTCAAAAGTTACTTTTCAGACAAAATCAAGAATATTTTCGACAAATCATTTCTGCAAAGGTCATTATTAACATTGTTCTTGACATGGGTATACCAACCAACTTCCTTATTGTTTTCATTTTGAGGAAAAGTTATGAGCCCATCACATACTATATACACTGACATGGGCCTGTATGAGTATGAAATACCCAGATTTTTTTATTTTTTTTAAAAGATTTGTAATGTACGAGGACAATGCTTTTGTTCAGATTTTTGAAATATGTCTATTTGGTTTGATGTATATCACGAAGAAATAATGACGCATCAGATGTCATTGCAGAACAATGTGTATAAAAGCTGTGTAAGCTTGAACAAAACCAGAGTTGGAGAACGTTGCATGGATCAGGATTGATTCAATTTAAATATCTGGCTCATTGACATCACATTCATAAATTCTGTATGATTTTAGCTCATGATGTGTAGGGACAATATTGAACATATTAAAATTATGCCATGAATGTGGAATCTAAAATGATTCTCGCTGCCAAAATTGTAGGAGAAACTGGTTGATATCAAGTAATGGTGTTGATGTCATGGTCTGATTGGTTGTATGGTTACAGGTAGCCCTATTACTTAATTCATGTAGTTGGACTGGACTGGGTTGATCGCTGGCAACAAATTTAAGTAGCTTGATTGGTTAGAGGCCATCTAGAGCTGGTTAATGTGGCTCGGTCCAGATTTGAAGTATTGCGAGTCGCCAACAGCAGAAAGCCACTTATATATCCACCTACACCATCCATCTAATTACCACTAGCCTCAGCGAAAACAGTGAAGTACTTGGATCTTAACATCAGTACCAACTTCAGCTGGACACCCCACCAACACGGGCAATGTTGTGAAGAAGGCAAATAACATCTCGGACGAAACATCAGCACTTGCCCGAGCAAAATCAAAGAGCAGTGCTACAGGACCATGGTCAGACTTGTTATGGAATGTGCCTGTGTTATCTGGGACCCTGTAACATAGAAGGATACCAACAAGTTGGAGATGGTCCAGAGGAGAGCCGCACATTGTGTCTTTTGGGATTATAGAACGAGCAGCGAGTCATCTATGGTGCTCAAAAGTCTCCAGTGGGAAACACTCAACAGCGTTGACAGCATTACAAGCTAACATTGTTGTACAGAATTATCAAGTCTAGTGGCTATACCATCACAGCCACACTTGAACCAGTGGTCACAGTGTACGCTTCCAGGTCCCATACTCTCGTGTACAGAACCATCAGCAGTCCTACCATATGTTTGTGGAACAACCTCCCAGACAGTGTTGCCACAGCCACCACTCTAGAGGGGTTCAAGAGATACGTGCACCTACTGGTTGCTCCGGATGTTTTTAATTGTATATACAGTTTCTTTTAACAACACAATTTCCCACTGGGCATGTGCAACAAGTAATCTGGGAAAATACTCCAGAGGAGGTATTGCAGAGTATTTTGAAGAAGAAGAGAGTTCAGAGGTCCCTAGGTTTGGCTAGAGTTTCTCTTGCGTGTTACAGTGGTGTCTGTGACCAACCCTTGTTTATACTTGACTAATACAGATGTACAATCGCATAAATATATATGTGATTGAATACATGACTAGTAGCTCTGAGGTTGTACATCCGATTACTTCAGTCATAAACTGTTATACAATTATCATTGTAATGTTGCATCAAAATAGTTAATTAAATCTTCAGTAACCACCACTTTCAATTTTGATATAAGATCTAGAGTTATTTCTTAAATTATCAAATCTGTTCTCTTTTGTTGTAGGATCATCATGGAGATTCCAAGAAGTAGTGGTTTTCAGCTACGCCACATGATGTGCGAGTTTGGACAGCTATCACGCCCTGATGGTGATGTGACTGTGTTTCAAGGGGACACGTCGGTTACAACTGCTGTTTATGGACCAGGAGAGGTGCGCATGAATAAAGAAATCCTCAATAAGGCCACAGTGGAGACTGTTTTCAAACCCAAATCAGGACTGCCTGGATGTGCGGAGAAGATGTTTGAAAGGACTCTCAGAAACACATGTGAAACTTTCCTTTTAGCAGCACTACATCCCAGATCATCCATAAGTATCATTGTTCAGGAAATTCAGGACTCAGGTTCTTTTCTATCATGTTGTGTAAACTCATGTTGTTTAGCACTGTTAGACGCAAGTGTTGCTATGAAGTTCCTAGTTGCAGCCGTAACCTGTGCTATAGACAGTGAAGAATGTATTATCCTGGACCCAACAGTTAAGCAAGAGAAAGACAGCTGTGCTGTCCTCACCTTCGTGTTTGAGAATAAAGACGATTCCATACTGGCAGTGTATACCACAGGTAGCTACACAGTCCAACAGTTCCAGCAGTGTTCACAGACTTGCGGAGAGGCCAGCAAAGCAGTATTTGACTTCTACAGAACTTCCATAGAAAAGAAACTTTCCAAGGCTACCTAGTTACATTAAATTTCCTATCATCATAATTCTTGGCTCGCATTATTTGTATATTTTTGCCTGTTCTGCTTTGTACCACTATCCTCTGCAAGCTTGGTCCATAAAACCAAGTTGTACCATTGTCGTTGATGATTACAAAACAATTGCATTTACAAGGCTGATTCTGAAACAACCTTGAATTTGGGTGACTTAGCTTTGGATGAGGTTTATGTGGAGGAAAATCAGCATTTTCGATAGGCTAAAACTTGAAGTCAAGTTACATCCAGGTAACAGAGAATTTTATATAGCTTTGGTGTTGTGACTATCTTTAGAAAGTTGTGGTTTTTTTTAGCTCAAAAGCAAAAGATGTAATTGGATATTCCCTAGTATTAAACGTAAATGTACAAATCCCTCATATTAAATACATGCAGCTATACAAGTTCCGCAAGTTAAATACAAGAGGCCAAATGGGCCTGCATCTCTCACCTTGTATACATCTCACACTTGTAACCTTAAAAGTGATCTAAATAAAGCTACAGGCAAAATATCAGTATTCATGACCATAAGTCATTCAAAAACCTGTTAAAAGATTTTAAAACGTTTGAACAAACTATAGACCTTCATCTCAGCATGCAACTTGCCAAATATCACCACCCTAGACCTTTTTTTTAATGAGATTAGGTCATTTAAAGGTTTATACATATCTGACCAAATGTGATCTTGAAAGTGGGTCAAGGTCATTCATTTGAACAAACTTGCTAGCCCTCCATGCCAACATCCTTCTGGCCAAATATCACCCTGGACCTTCTAGTTATACAAAAGAAGTTGTTTGACAATTGACCTCTGTGACCTTGAATATGGGCGAAGGTCATAAATTTGAACACGCTTGCTAGCCCTCCATGCCAACATCCTTCTTGTCAAATTTCATCACCCTGGACCAGGGGACTGATAATGGGCCTGTAGCATGCTGGGATGAAGGGCTACCAAGTTTGTTGAAATGATTGACCTTGGCCTACTTTCAAGGTCACAGGGGTCAAATGTCGCAAAATCTTCAAATTATTTCTTCTCAATAACCTAAAGACCCAGGGTATTGAAATTGGGCCTGTAGCATGCTGGGTTGGTGGACTACCAAGTTTGTTCAAATGAATGACCTTGACCAACTTTCAATGCCACATGGGTCAAATGTCGTAAAATCATCAAACGTCTTCTCAATAACCAAAAGCTCCAGGGTACTGATATTGGGCCTGTAGCATGCTGGGATGAAGGGCTACCAAGTTTGTTGAAATGAATTACCTTGGCCTACTTTCAAGGTCACAGGGGTCAAATGTCGTAAAATCTTCAATTTTTTTTCTTTCTCAATTACCTTAAGACCCAGGGTATTGAAATTGGGCCTGTAGCATGCTGGGATGATGGACTACCAAGTATGTTGAAATGAATGACCTTGACCAACTTTCAAGGTCACAGGGGTCAAATGTCGTAAAATCTTCAAATTATTTCTTCTCAATAACCTAAAGACCCATGGTATTAAAATTTGGCCTGTAGCATGCTGGGACGATGGACTACCAAGTTTGTTTAAATGAATGACCTTGACCCACTTTCAACCTAATGTCCTTGTTCGACATTCAAGGTCACAGGCGTCATGTTTAAATCTTAATAGGTTCTTATGAATCAAACACTGATATTCTGCCTGTAGCTCTATTTTAGTCCACTTTTAAGATTACAAGTGCAAGATTAATACCAGGTGAGCGATGCAGGCCCATTGAGCCTCTTGTTAGCTCTTGTTAAAAAAGGCTACGAATCTCAATCACAAGCTTATTTGTGCTCCATTTCACATTGTATTAGAATTAAATGCTGATTTAATGTTCAGAAACTGCCAACTAATCGGAGTGCAGTATGCTCATTAATGCTCAAATTTGAACTTGAGCCATAGTTTCTGTATATTGTGTGTATAAAGTTTCATCAGAATTCAACCATATTTAAGCAAGTTATATTGCAGGAATTGAAGTGTGGATATTGACCAATCCGAACGCTGTATGCTAATTAATCTTGTGCAAATTTTCCTTGTCCTGGATCTTATCCTTAGTCTTTGTTTATTGTGGATACTTCCCAAATTTCACCAAAATGGAATGATATTTAAACAAATTATCTCACAGAAACACCTTTGTACAGACAGATGGACGCTACCCATACCATAATACATCTCATCAAAAAGTTTGAAGGGCATTTCATAACATATACCACATATAAGACAGAGTCGCATGTATAATTCTAAAACATTTTTTTTAATTTTTCACTTTGAAAAATGCACTATATGTGATTTTTTCAATAATCTTATTGATTGATAGTACATATATACCAGTATGTCAAGCTTGTAGTTGGAGACATATAATGAAGAATGATGAAAGCATACTTTATAAAAGGCATAAAAATAACAAATTACATAATAACATTAGTCTACTGACAAAAGATTACAAAAACATAAACAATGCTTCTACAGAAATGCATGCATTTGTATACTGATTCTTAGAACTGGTAATACTGGTAGACAAAACACTAAATGTCCCCAGTAACATTACTTTATAACATAAAAGGGCTTCAGTGAAATAGTACATACTCAAGTTAGCTTGTTCATATGCTTAATTGACACAATGATTTTAATGAATGTTGACAAGGCATAAAAATGAAAAACACTGCTTACCAAAAAAAACCAAATTAATTATTGGCATTACACAGGCCTGTCAAAATAAGATGTGTTTAACATTCTGAATATATTCACTACTGAACATGTCAGCTTTTAGAATAGCCAAAACCAATATCACTACAACACTTTTTTCTTAACGATTAGTTAAAGTCATGTTTTACAAGCCTTTTCTTTAATAATTGACAGTGACAGCAAACAAAATTTGGCTTCACCATAAATTTCTCATAAGTTAAAGAGTCCCACATCTAACTCTGCATGATGGTGTTATATGTGGGTCCCTGACTTGTGAGGATGAACATACTTACCTACTTGTTGTTTGATGTGAAACAATTGTTTTACCCTTTGAGATATAAAAAGGTGCGCTAACAATAGCCCATGGATAAAAACTCTCTGTAGCAATGCATTGTGACATAATGTGCCCAGTAACATTGCATCATCAGTCAAAAAGAAATATCCGCAACATTGTGTGATTAGAATGAATAATGAGAATATCAGTACAAATTTATTACTCTTTTTTTTTAATATAATACTTTGTCTCAAATATGGTAAAAAAACCTACTCAACACTCATACATTGTACATGTGTTGGATAAGTTGGACCATATATAATTGTTAACTGACAGAATCTAGAGATATCATGATCACAAGCTAGGTAGACAACATGGTCAACACCCCCAGACATCATGATCAACACAAGCTAGAAATACCTCCAGGCATCATGGTCAACATCTCCAGACCTCAGGATCAACACAAGCTAGAAATACCTCCAGGCATCATGGTCAACACCCCCAGACATTATAATCAACACAAGCTAGAAATACCTCCAGGCATCATAGTCAACACCCCCTGACATCATGATCAACACAAGCTAGAAATACCTCCAGGCATCATAGTCAACACCCCCAGACATCATGACCAACACAAGCTAGATATACCTCCAGGCATCATGGTCAACACCCCCAGACATCATAATCAACACAAGCTAGAAATACATGCAGTCGTTATACTCAATACAAGCTAGAAATACCTACAGGCATCACGATACAAGTCCGTGTCTTTTCGTTTTCCATAATCAGCTCCAAAAACTTTCCACTCTAAATGAAAGACTACAGCAAAGTCTTACAACCTATGTAACCTGTCTGATTTGTTCCGACCAACCAACCTTGACCTGAGTGATATATGCCTTAAAGTTACACAGCCCAGATGGAGAAATTATGATATACATATTTGGTTTAATAACTGAACGACCATACTACATAATTTGATTTAAGTATTACAGAACATTCCAATGTTGATATAAATGATGAAGATTGAGTTTGATTACATACTTAATTCAGTATAATAACGTGATATTCATGCTTTCTGAGAGACATATCCTTGACACCTACCATTTGTAAGATCTTCATTGGTCCTATGTAAGTTTATTTTTCTATCTGCTGGATTGAGTCATATTAACAATCAATGCAACTTGTAACTAATGTGAGCCAACTTCATATTGATATGTTTGACGCTGCATGTCCTCTTAAAGTCAGGTAGTTGTTTGACTTATTTACGTGGTAATAGTATATATTCACTAAGTGATGTGTAAAAAGAGAGTTCTCTGATTTTTCTGGTAGTTATATTTTTCTTCTGATTAAGCTACTTAAATCTCAGAACAAAACATATTCAGAACAAGGGAACAAGCTAAACCTTTTAACTAATCTTGTGAAATTTGAAAAAAATCTGTAATTCAATTTCTGAGAAATAGCTAATCAGACTTCAAAAGTCACATTCAACGATGTCTGTATTGCAGCCATCTTCTTTTTTTTATCAGTCTCAAAATTTAACACTCAAAACTAAGGACCAAGATAAAAAGCATATTCTGCAGCCCACCATCTAATGACTGTAAGCTAATATATTATTATAGTGGCCAGTCAGTGCATAAGCATTACAAAACAAAGGATTTACTAATCAAGAATTGAATTCATGTTGGTCAATCATTCCAATCAACAAACAGATGCATAATAGTTACTGATTAGGAAAGATCACTCATTCACAAATAGCCCTTGGTCACTAGTTTTGTCATAGCTTGATGTTACCATATTTGAGACAGTCATTATAAAGGAGCTTAATTTAATTAAATATCAGACTTTGAATGTCTTATATTTAATTGGCTATCAGTAATTTTTTACACAGAGATATTGTGTATAAACCTGTTCACCATGATGATGGAAACCCAAATCCTTGACTGTCTTTAACATACCATGACAAGTCCTGGGCTGTCCTACATACCATTTGACCAGTCCTGGGCTGTCCTACATACCATGTGACCAGTCCTGGGCTATCCTACGTACCATGACCAGTCTTGTGCTATCTTACATACCTTGACCAGTCCTGGACTGTCCTACATACCATGACCAGTCCTGGGCTATCTTACATACCTTGGCCAGTCCTGGACTATCTTACATACCATGTGACCAGTCCTGGACTGTCTTTCATACCTTGACCAGTCCTGGGCTGTCCTACAATACCATGACCAGTCCTGGACTGTCCTACAATACCATGTGACCAGTCCTGGTCTGTCCTACAATACCATGACCAGTCCTGAACTATCATACATGTGATAGCCAATCCTTGACTGTCTTACATACGACAATGATTCCTGGACTGTCTTACATACATCAACCAATCATTGACTGTCTTACATACATCAACCAATCATTGACTGTCTTAGATATGACAACCATTCCTGGGCTGTCTTACATCAACCAATCATTGACTGTCTTACATATGACAACCATTCCTGGGCTGTCTTACACACATCAACCAATCATTGACTGTCTTACATACAACAACCAATCATTGACTGTCTTACATACAACAACCAATCATTGACTGTCTTACATACAACAATCAATCATTGACTGTCTTATAATAATTACCATGACAAGTCCAGGACTGTCTTATATGCGGTAGCCAATCCTAGACTGTCTAGCAAATGAAGCCAATACTGGACTAACCACATCTGACTGTCAATCCTGGAGTGTTTAATATCTGACAGTCAACCCTAGACCATCTAACATCTCACAACCAATCCTAGACTGTGTTACATAGGACAACCAATCCTAGACTGTGTTACATAGGACAACCAATCCTAGACTGTGTTACAAAGGACAACCAATCCTAGACTGTGTTACATAGGACAACCAATCCTAGACTGTGTTACATAGGACAACCAATCCTAGACTGTGTTACATAGGACAACCAATCCCTGACTTTCTAACAACATTTGACAGCTAATCCTGTAGAATATAAACATTTGACAGCTAATCTTATAGACCATGGCATCTTCCCACTCAAAATATTATTAGGATATTCAAGAAAGGTCAGCCTACACGGACACTGCTAATGTCAGAAACTGCTTAGGAACAATGTTAAATGGCCTAGATACACACGTTGGCCAAGTGCTAATGACTAACGTTACAAAGGAACATTTTATACTTATTGATGCAATGGCACAAGATCGTTTTTACAAAACTTGTTCATTAAAAACCAATTCCTACTGACAATGCTTGGTGTGCAGTCATTTATGTACTGTACTGAGCTTTCCAGATTACACCTGTACTCTCATAATATACTCCAACACTGTACAAGCAGTAATTGATCTTACAAAACTGGTTACTCAACATGACTCATGTTAAATGTATCCTGTACAAAGTACATAATCGTTACTCAGTTATTTTGAATGAAAAAATAATGATAAATATGTTATGAAAACAAATAACAAAAACATAATTACATGTAATGTAATTGCAAAAAAAAAAATGAATAAAGACTACATGGATTAAACACTTAAATATAATTGACAGCAATTTTAGTGGCCAGCAGTTTGCAGTACCGGTTTAACAAGAATGAATATAAAACAATTGCATGATTCTATCGGCACATCTCTAAAAGCTTCAATGATCTTTTGAAATTACTCAAATCCAACAAATTCACAAGTTTGAAATTAAGTGTCCAACATCAACAACAAGCATTAATATATATAACATCAATAAACAAAGAGTTCTTCGTAAAAATTATCTGGACACTAATTGTCTCATTCTAAGGTCAGTACTTTAAAAAGAACCTTTACCCTTTCACCCCTTTGGAACTTTAGTAGACTCTACCATGCATTGATCTGGATGAGTCTATTATAGTCTACAGTGGTGAAAGGGTAAATAATCATTTGATTTTTTTGGTAAGATATTAGAAGATTTCTCTTATCAGATGTGACTGCTCTGTATCAAATAATTATATGAAACCTAAATTTGCAGTCTGGTTTTCAGTATGGTATTGTACTTCAATGTCTTATATTTTAAGAGACCCAAGCACAAACACTCACTGAATATACCTCCCTGTCGATGTCTCACTTACTAAATGACTGACCTTACCCAGTATTAGGGTCCTGAACACAGGGTAGAGAAAGAACACATTGATTATATAACAAGACAAATGTTTTAACTGTAATAGGAAAGGAAACTGATAACTGCAAATGAAAATCTTATAAAAAATTATATGTTCATGAATACATGTATATGGAAAATATTGCAATGATTTGAAATTCAAAATAAGATATCTCAGTATAACATATACAGTACAAGCAAATGTATTACAAAGTTAGTGATCTTCACCTCTGATTGTGGTAATGGTATTGCAGTGTTATTTTTCCATACCAGTCACACGGTTCTTGTATACCCTTCACACACTGGTCACTGAAGTCACACACACTATCATACCATCACATGTACCATCACTAGTCACACACAACATACACAATGTCAACATGTTCCTAAACTGGACCCCACCAGAGGTTCCTTGTATCATGTCTCCTTGGTAACCCTTCACTGTCTGGGGGTCTGTTATCTGTTATAGTGATCATTATTATCATCACCTGTTCAATCACTGAATTAAAAAAAAAAAAGACAAAAAAAAGAAACACCTTTAGACTGCATGTGCCAAAGAGAACAACTTCAAATCTTAATTAACTGATTTTCCATTTCCATTTGGGTGTTTCTTTTTCAGATAAATATCAACAAAATGAAACTACCAGGTACTGCTGCTGTACGTACATCACAGCATTCCATCTCCATTAAACGAAATGTTCCCTTGTGACATTGTGGCAATGCAAGGTTTGACTGTACCTCACAGACATATATTACAGAAACTTAACATTACACAACTCCTTAAGTAGATGCTTAAATAGCTAGTTATATGGCAGTCAAGGGTTACAAGGCGTCCGTATGTCCTCAAGGTGTAACATGCAGTTTGTTGAGTCCAGTACCGTTAGAAGCCCCAGCTACCAGTCAGGGAGGGTGTGTGTGGAGTTGTTATATTTAGTACAGTGCAGGTAGCATATCTATATATCCTCTTGAGAACAAAACAATATCTACACATTCATTTTAGCACTTAATACTCAACAAAATTCAGATTCATTATTACACAGGGACAAAACACAATTCCTGAGTGACAGGGTGGTAAGATCACCTATACCTACAACCTACAACACCAGGTTTATAGGATTATTTAAACCTACTAACATTAACAATTAGGCTCGAAGGATCAACTAATCCTACAACACTAAACAACAAAGGTCATCAGATCACCTAAACCTTCAACCCTATACCACTAGGTTGGAAGAATCACCTAAACCTTCAACCTATATCACTATCTAAGGGTCCTAGGATCACCTAAACAATCAAGGTTGTAGGATCACCTAAACCCTTATTCCACCAAGGTTGTAGGATCACCTAAACCCCTATTCCATCAAGGTTGTAGAATCACCTAAACCTACATCGCTAGGGTCCTAGGATCACCTAAACCCTTATTCCACCAAGGTTGTAGATCTAGGGTCGTAGGATACAACCTATATCACTAGGTCATGGATCCCCTAAACCTAAACCGTATAACTCTAGGGTCGTAGGATACAACCTATATCACTAGGTCATGGATCCCCTAAACCGAAACCGTATAACTCTAGGGTCGTAGGATATAAATGATATCACTAGGTCATGGATCCCCTAAACCTAAACCGTATAACTCTAGGGGCGTAGGATACAAATGATATCACTAGGGTCCTAGTAGAATTAATTAAATGAAATCTGAAAACCAAGGTTGAAGGATCACATTGACCTATAACCCTATACCACAAGGGTTGAAAGAAAACCTTACCCTACAACTCTATACCACTAGTAAATCATATTATGTCCCTGTAATTAGTTGGGATAGATTTAAATTGTTCATTCAAGTTTTGTTTCAGTTCATGCCTACCAACCAATTCAGAAGAAGTATATCAACTTGGTGATAAAATATAAAATAAACATGTGTTGAGTAAAAACCACAGGAAACATTGATCATGCGAGGTACACATAAACACAGGGCTAGCCTCACAGAACTTGTATTACTTCATGTCACAGTAAACAACAGAATTTAGGAAAGTCAAAAAATATGCAGTTGAGTCCATTTCAACAGCATTTTTCATACTTTTTTTATGTACCGGTATGTATCGGGACATTTTATTCTAGATCTAAATGTTTACCGGTAATACTCGCTCCTTCAGAGTGACCTGTCTGTAGTGTAGATCATACCTTACAAAGGTAGTCCAACGGGCTACAGTGATAATGAGTTAAAAGTGTCCGATATAAGATACTGAAATGTGATAAGATATTGAAATATCCAGGGGTCCCATATGAAATATGGAACCCCTCGTTTAGCTTCCTTTTCAAGTCCTTGTGCCAATATGCTGTATGTGAATACGACCTAATGTTTATAACATGACATCACAGATATTGCACACCACAAAAACAATCAAAGTTCTGCCCACAAACAGTTCATTGCTCGCTACAATCTGATCACATGGTTTCAGTCACATGGTTATCACATGCCAAACAAAATGGTGGCTACCAGCGGCCAAGATCACAGATCTATCTCCATGTAAGGCAGACCGAAGCTATGGAGTGTCATTTTTGAAAACAATTCCTGAAAAATAAGCTCAACTCAATGAAAATAAGCTCAAATCAACAAAATGAAAGGCAAAAACAACTAAAGCTATGATCAAAATCAACTTTCCAATACACTTTTTGAGACATTTATTATGATATATGACTATTGAATTGAATAGATATATTTTTAATTTTAATTTTTTCAATTACATAAACAGGATTGTATTTCATTGTAATGAAATTGATATCAGGAATTACAGGAATTGTCACTTATTTATTATTCAACTATTCTGACCAACCTCCATTTTTAAAAACTTTTACCAAATGACATACAGGATAGCTACATCTTCTAGTTTGTTAGAATATATATATAATTACCATTGAATATGAGGGTTATTTAAACAACATGGTATAAATAATTATGAAAGTACAAATTACAGATAAGGTGTTATTATGTGGTATGTACTATATGTTGGGATCAATATCTATGTTGAAGGTTATCATTAACATTACTTATAAATGTCCCATACATAGTCATGTCATCATCGACATATCTACACTACTTGAAAACTTGATACTTACTCTTAATCTAAACTAGCTATAATCTTATGGCACTTAAATTGTATTGCAAAGATTTTGATCCCCTATTCTTCGTTTGTATTTAGATGAACCTTTGCGTATACTTGCACTAGACATTTTAAGAATTAGCAGCAGGAATACTACAGAACATCTAAATAACAGCATTCTATCAAATACTAAAGATATTTGTTTTGATCCTTTTTGATTTTCTACTGTAAAAACTTCTTCAACTTTTTATTTCAATGAGAACTTGCACTTTTCTAAACATATGATTTAATTTTCCCTCCTTTTTATTCAGAGTATTTTATTGTAAAGATATTTTCACAAAAGGAATTGAGCAATAAGCAAATTTTATAAAAGAAATATCTTATTTATTTCTATATTCCGTACTGTTACGACAGAAATCTAGCTCTGAACTAGAAACTTGGGCAGGAAAATAGGAAAATATTACATACATAGTTTGAACAGCACAAAATACTATCAAATGCACTGAAGACATGCAATGAGCATAATGGAAATGGAGTGATTGAAATCAACGTGCCAAGATCACGGAAGCAACTTGAAAGCAACAACACCTTGCATATGTCTATTCCATCTTTGTATATTGCAGAGTTATCTTCTCTTGAGAGCAGGTATTGATTGTTACGTCATTTGTTTGTGAGAGTAACGTCATAATTTTTTGAGAAAACAACATAATTTTCTCACACAAACCAATGACATAACAATCAATACCTGCTCTCAAGAGAAGATAACTCTGCAATACGCAAAGACGGAATAGTCATATTACTACCAAACAATTGCAGGGGGGAAATCTACCCGACTTTGTGACGCGAGAACTATCACATCATGTTTGACTTCAGATAGCTTCTAAAGATTCAAATAGATATAAACGTAATACTGAATCTATCAAACCCTTTACTAAACTATCAGAATTATTTTATCACCTTACAATTTCAAATACAATTCTTTTACGCTTCACCTTTTCGTAAAATAATTTAATTGGAATAATTAGATAACAATTGTTTAATGTGATTGTTCATTCTTCTTCTTTAGGGTGTAGGGGCTCTATCAATATGCTGATGATAATACCCTTGGGGTCCTGTCACAGAGGCGTGAACAATTGTGGAACAGTTTAAATAAAGTAAATATATGGATGTATACTGGGAGACTTCAACTGTTTTGTGGGTAAGCAGTGTACACCATGTGTATTTGTTTGGCTGGGTGATATTAACCATATGCTAGTGAGCAGTAGTCTGTGCTTGTTTCCTGTGGGGGTGTGTGGGGTCACCGGGGATGTATGGGGGTGATATTAACCATATGCTAGTGAGCAGTAGTCTGTACTTGTTTCCTGTGGGGGTGTGGGGGGTCACTGGGGATGTATGGGGGTGATATTAACCATATGCTAGTGAGCAGTAGTTTGTACTTGTTTCCTGTGGGGGTGTGTGGGGTCACCGGGGATGTATGGGGGTGATATTAACCATATGCTAGTGAGCAGTAGTCTATACTTGTTTCCTGTGGGGGTGTGGGGGGTCACCGGGGATGTATGGGGGTGATATTAACCATATGCTAGTGAGCAGTAGTCTGTGCTTGTTTCCTGTGGGGGTGTGTGGGGTCACCGGGGATGTATGGGGGTGATATTAACCATATGCTAGTGAGCAGTAGTCTGTGCTTGTTTCCTGTGGGGGTGTGTGGGGTCACCGGGGATGTATGGGGGTGATATTAACCATATGCTAGTGAGCAGTAGTCTGTGCTTGTTTCCTGTGGGGGGGGGGTGTGGGGTCACCGGGGATGTATGTACTTGTTTAACTGGGTGATAAGAAGTCGTAGCGAGCAATGATCTGTTTTGTGTGCTTGTTTTACTTAGATATATGAGCAGTGTGGGAAGTCGTAGTTAGTGATGTGTCATGTAGTAAAGGCTATCCATGTACATGCAGAGCTTTACACCACTGTTAGTCACCAGGTTGTGCAGTTATTTCCCATCTAAGACAAAAGTCATGCAGATTTATCTACCAACTTCACAACTTGTGTAAATCTAATGTTAGCATATGAACAGATGCATAAAAGCACCTTAATGTAAAGAATTATGAAAAGGTAGCCATTTCCTACTAGACGCTATGTACCTGCTTTCAAGGTAGATAGTCAGGACACCATGGTGGGAACGTTTCCTTCGTCAGTATGTCCTTACTGATGAGTGAATCTGTAGCTTTGACAACTCTGATATAGATCACACCAGGATAAGACATTGGGACAGAAGTAGCCGATACTGAGGTAAAGAAACATTGAGCTCTATAATAACAAAACAAATTATAATACTCTATTCATAAAAGATATTCTTTCTATTTCATAAATATATTCTTAAGATTCTATAAATGTGCTATACTTTTGATTTTTCTGATAGAATGTGATGCATTTATCACAATTACAACATCAGAAATACCTATATGGGAAATGTGTAAAATGCAGCGAGGAAAATACACCTAATCACATAGCTAATGTATCACTAGAAAAACACCTGTATCAAGTCAAAGGTTTGAGCAACATTCACAGTGCAGAAGCAACAGTCAGAATTCTACAGGACTATTAACAATGTGCTTATCACACAATTACTGTAATTGTGTCCCGAGACCTTAGGAGTAAGTGGCTAACAGAACGGGAAAAAGAGGTGAAATAAAACATCTAAAACAATAACTAAGAAAGCTACAGATATAGAAAAATATCACATAAATTATATATGTATGTATAAAACAAAAAACACCTGTTCATAATAGTTAGGATGTTACCATAGTGACATATCAACAATTCATTAACGGTGACATTTTGATTTGTTTTACACCTATCACGGACTGAGACAGAGACAAGCACTATGATTTAAGTTAGCGAAGATGACAAAGTACTATGTATCCATTAGTTTATAAGGTCACATTATACTGTACACCTAGTAGATATATGACAATAAGAGGATTATACTAGTAAAACAGTAACTGACAGTAGTGAGACACTATGTAATTGGTTATGAGCCACAATAATACACCATAAGCACCTTACATTGTAGTAAGTAAGCACTAATGATTTATCTGTATCACAATTCGCTTTGTCTCATCTGTGTTCACACCACGGCGAGAGTGAGGGGAGATAACTGCCTGTATAACACAGTAACTGTATGGTACAAGTCACAACTCTAACTTAGCACAGTAAACTGACCAACACTGACCGGTCTACCACACCACGGCGAGAGTACTGAGACAGTAACACTACAAATTACATGTATAGCATTAACTATCTACTATTCCTCTTATTAGACCAGACTTGCACTCTCTGATTTTATCAACTCTTAGCAGAACAATACTAAAAGTGCTAACATTCTTTTAGTAAAGTTAATTTTTACTGTAAAATGCTGTTATACATTGCCGTCCTTACCAGGCAAGACTGGCCATACCAACAGAGGTCTAACTGACAGTCTGACCTTGTAGTAGGAGGCACATCCTCCCTCCCCTCATCACTGCCTGGCTCCACATGCAGCAATACCAACATGCAAAAAATGTTTTTGATGCGAAGTTAAGACCAAAACAACAATCAAAAAGTTAGTCATGCTATTTAACCAGTGCTCTGAAATAATAGAGGGCAAGGTCAGTGGAACAAGGGCAAATGCTTAGAGTTTGGTGTCCTCAGTCGTTTCATTGGAAGCCATGGGGAGTGGAGGAGAAGGGCGGGCAGGCACAGGGCGTGCAGACCCTTGGTAACTCAAGCGATTAGAGATAGGCGTTGGCTCTACAGGCTGCGGAAGCTGGTTATACTGGGAGGTTAGTAAGGGACCGGGCCCCTGTGAAGTAGATATCTGTGGATGATCACCTATTGATGTCAAGTCTTGTGCAGCTTTGGAGGATGACAAACTACCTTGTCCATTCTGTGGGGAAGGGCTGTCCCCTAGAGTTGTAACTAATATTGAGTTAGGACTTCCTGTTGATGCTGACCGCTGGTGCATGGGAGCCACTGGGGGTGGTACCTTTGGTCGATCTGGCGGGGGCATCGAAGGGCGGTCCGCGTGACTGTGAGATATGGTAGATGACCGGTGCGGGGCATGGCTTGGTTTCTCTGGAGGAAAGGATGGCCTCTCAGGGGGAGCCTTGACTTGGTCAGTCGACTCCTCCCCACCAGGACTCCCTGCCTCTGTGCCCCCACCTTGCCGAGGCCAAGTCTGGTATTGGACCGGTTTGGCCACTGAGGCTGTTACTGCCACAGAGAATGGTCTGTTAGGTGGGGGAGGAGGGGCTGGCTTTCTTGTCACACGCTGCTGGATTTTGGGGCTGGTTTGTTCACTGGGGAAAATTTACAGCAAATTATCTCAAATACATGTGCAAGTTTGAATTGAATAATATAACATCAAGCAAACTGAATGATAATACCAGCATTATACTGTCAAGAAATTGTACAGAACTTGAAATGTAAAGCAATCAGCTTATGTAAAGAAGAGATTAACTTTGAAAGATTGACAAATTTTCAAACATTCAAAAGATTTTAGTACCAAACCACATACATATAAACCAGCCTGGATAGATAAATGGAGACATATTAGTACAGTTATCACATCTCATCAAAGTCATGCTCAATAATCATATAGAAATGTTAGTCTCTGAGATACATTATAAATGATAATAAATTTCCTCATATGACCCTCAATATCCAACATTTACCCATGCTAAAATTTAAGTACTTTAATACCCTATTACTCATTATTTACCTGTGTTAGAAAAACTTTTATCTGATGCTCAATATAAACAGATAGAATGAACATTCTGGTATTGCTCTCATTATAAAACGTTAGTCTAGGACAATTCTGGTACACATCTCACTACCCCACCCTTACCTGTATGAGGAACATTCTGGTACATCTCCTACCCTACATGTATCTGTGCTAGGTACATTCTGGTACAGATCCACTACCCGACGCTTACCTGTGCTAGGTATATTCTGGTACAGATCTTCCTACCCAACACTTACCTGTGCTAGGTACATTCTGGTACATCTCCTACATTTATCTGTGCTAGGTACATTCTGGTATAAATCTTACTACCAAACATTTACCTGTGCTAGGAACATTCTGGTACAGATCTTACTACCCAACACCTACCTGTGCTAGGAACATTCTGGTACAGATCGTACTGCCCAACACTTACCTGTGCTAGGTACATTCTGGTACAGATCTTACTACCCAACACCTACCTGTGCTAGGAACATTCTGGTACAGATCGTACTGCCCAACACTTACCTGTGCTAGGTACATTCTGGTACAGATCTTACCACCCAACACTTACCTGAACAAGGTACATTCTGGTACAGATCTTACTACCCAACACTTTTCTGTGCTAGGTACATTCTGGTACATATCTTACCACCCAACACTTACCTGTGCTAGGTACATTCTTGTATATCTCCAACACTTACCTGTGCTAGGTAATTCTGGTACAGATCTTACCACCCAACACTTACATCAATACCTGTGCTAGATACATTCTGGTACAGATCTTGCCACCCAACACTTATATCATTACCTGTGCTAGATACATTCTGGTACAGATCTTCCACCCAACATTTATATCATTACCTGTGCTAGGTACATTCTGGTACAGATCTTGCCACCCAACACTTATATCATTACCTGTGCTAGATACATTCTGGTACAGATCTTCCACCGAACATTTATATCATTACCTTTGCTAGGAACATTCTGGTACAGATCTTGCCACCCAACACTTATATCATTACCTATGCTAGGTACATTCTGGTACCGATCTTACCACCCAACACTTACCTGTGCTAGGTACATTGTGGTACAGATCTTACCACCCCACACTTAAATAATTACCTGTGTTAGGTAATTCTGGTACAGATCTTACCACCCAACACTTATATCATTACCTGTACTAGATACATTCTGGTACAGATCTTATCACCCAACACTTAAATAATTACCTGTGCTAGATACATTCTGGTACAGATCTTACCACCCAACAGAAAAGACAAATGATAAACCTTATCGAGTCTGATTAACAAGCTATGCAGTATAGATAGATTAACAGTTGTTGTGGTCGTTAGTCTAACCAAAACCTTAATGAGATGATAACACCCAATTGAGTTATGATGAAGTACAGCTAGCGAGAAACCAGCCATTGTATTAGTTACCTCTCAGCTAAGGGTGCGGCTAAGCCCACAGAGGTGGTGTCTTCTGTACTGCTCGTGGGGGATGTGCTGGTGTTCATGTTCGTAGAGTGAAGTGATGTCAGGCTAACTTGTTGACTCCCAGTCGTACTTGACACCTGGTTTCCTGAGGAAAAGGAGCCCTCATGGTCCGACGAAGGTTCTGCACCCTCCAACAGACCTCCCTCATTGCTTGAGGCATACAGTGCATAGTTACCAAAGTCCACCTCTGCAAAGTAAAGGGTACAGATTATTTATAAATCCAACATTTCATCACATTATACAGTTATGTTGATCAAAAGGAAGACACTGAAAAAAAACACCACAATGTGTACATCAAAATATTGATGCTTATAATTACATGCTTTCAGATTCCCTGGTAGGCTGCAAATACCACCGTTTAGCTGGATAAAGATGTTTAAAGAACAATGTTTTACATGGAACTACAGTATTCAATGTTAGCTAAGTGCAATTAAGTCCTTAACAATACTGTTGCTCAAGTGTAGAGCGTTTTAAGTAAGTGTTACAGTGAGTGGTGACTTAAGTGACTCACCTCCTGTATATAGTGAATAGTGACTCACCCCAACACCTAGCGACTCATTACAGTATCAGTGACTCACCCCAACATCTAGTGACTCAGTCCAGTATCAGTGACTCACCCCAACATCTAGTGACTCACTACAGTATCAATGACTCACCCAGTATCTAGTGACTCACTACAGTATCAGCGACTCAACTGGTATATAGTGACTCTTCCCAACATCTTGTGACTCACCTCTGTAATTATTGACTCATTATCTATCTATTGACTAGCCCAAATATCTAGTGGTTCTTTCATATACATATCAAATGCCCAACAAACCAGAGTGTATAACTCATGTACTCAAAAAGACCTAACATACCAGACTATATATTTTGTGATTGATAACTTCTAGTATGTTTAGATGTTTTGAGTTGATGTAAAAATGCTAAAATAAGATAACCACTGAAATAAGTTTATTATTTTACAACACAATGACTTGCCTCAATATCCTGATTCATTCATGCAAATACACACTTACCCCAATATCTAGATTCCACTCAATATCTTGACTCATTTGAATATCTCGACTCAACCCCATATCTCCTCTGAACCCTACATCAAGTCTCATCTCAAAATCTAGACTTACCCGAATGTCTAGATTTGTCTTAATATTGGCAGATTCAATACAATAAAGTCAATCAAATATAGCAAACGTGCAGAGTGGTATGAATGTGGTCTGCCTGACATGCTGTATAGCACTTTAAAACGCAATTGTATATTTTGGTCCTATGGATTGTGTGTACAAGTAGAAATGATGGTGACAGACAATCCACAGTGACTGTATGACCCTGGACAAGCAAGTAACATTGCTTTGTGATTTTGAGAGTCTGGGACCCTTGACAGGTGTATTCAAGATCACATGAGATGATTTTGCTTACCGTATCTGGATTGACTTGAAGACTTATCAGTATGGCAGTATAGGGTGAATTACAAAAGTCTCTTGGTTTGGTATGAATATCTGCCATTATAATAATAATTTTGCACATAAAAACAAGACTGAAATTCATGCTCTTCAAAATATCTACTTTAATAGATGGTTTTAACTCAAAATGCTCTATATATTTATCTACCTACATTCTATGATCCTGAGTGAACTCCTGAAAATGCTGAACCTGTGATAAAGTGACCCAGACAACAGGCACCTCAACCAGTACAGTGACTCCTGTCATCCTGGACAACAGGCACCATGACCAGTAGTGACTCCTGTCACCCAGGAAAACAAGCAATACAACCAGTAAAGTGACTCCTGTCACCCAGGACAACAGACACCACGGCCAGTACAGTGATTCCTGTCACCCTGGACAACAGGCACCACGACCAGTAGTGACTCATGTCACCCAGGACAAAAGCAGTAACTCCTGTCACCCATGACAACAGACCCCATGACAAGTACAGTGACTCCTGACACCCATGACAACAGACACCACGGCCAGTACAGTGACTCCTGTCACCCTGGAAAACAGGCACCATGACAAGTACAGTGACTCCTGTCACCCATGACAACAGACCCCATGACAAGTACAGTGACTCCTGTCACCCATGACAACAGACCCCATGACAAGTACAGTGACTCCTGTCACCCATGACAACAGACACCATGACAAGTACAGTGACTCTTGTCACCAATGACAACAGACACCATGGCAAGTACAGTGACTCCTGTTACTCATGACAACAGGCACCATGACAAGTACAGTGATTCCTGTCACCCTGGACAACAGGCACCACGACCAGTAGTGACTCATGTCACCCAGGACAAAAGCAGTAACTCCTGTCATCCATGACAACAGGCACCATGACAAGTACAGTGACTCTTGTCACCAATGACAACAGACACCATGGCAAGTACAGTGACTCTTGTCACCCATGACAACAGGCACCATGACAAGTACAGTTACTCTTGTCACCAATGACAACAGACACCATGGCAAGTACAGTGACTCCTGTCACCCATGACAACAGGCACCATGACCAGTACAGTGACTCCTGTCACCCATGACGACAGGCACCCTGACCAGTACAGTGACTCCTGTCACCCATGACAACAGACACCATGACCAGTATAGTGACTCCTGTCACCCGATACAACAGACACCATGACAAGTACAGTGACTCCTGTCACCCATGACAACAGGCTCCATGACCAGTATAGTGACTCCTGTCACCCGAGACAACAGACACCACGGCCAGTACAGTGACTCCTGTCACCCAGGAAAACAAGCAATACAACCAGTAAAGTGACTCCTGTCACCCAGGACAACAGGCACCATGACCAGTATAGTGACTCCTGTCACCCGATACAACAGACTCCATGACAAGTACAGTGACTCCTGTCACCCATGACAACAGGCACCATGACCAGTACAGTGACTCCTGTCACCCAGGACAACAGGCACCATGACCAGTAGTGACTCCTGTCATCCAGGACAACAGACACCAAGGTCAGTACAGTGACTCCTGTCACCCTGGACAAAAGCAGTGACTCCTGTCACCCATGACAACAGACACCACGGCCAGTACAGTGACTCCTGTCATCCTGGACAACAGGCACCATGACCAGCACAGTGACTCCTGTCATCCTGGACAACAGGCACCATGACCAGTATAGGAACTCCTGTCACCTCAGACAACAGACACCATGACCAGTACAGTGACTCCTGTCACCCTGGAAAACAGGCACCATGACCAGTACAGTGACTCCTGTCACCCATGACAACAGACACCACGGCCAGTACAGTGACTCCTGTCATCCAGGAAAACAGACACCATGACCAGTACAGTGACTCCTGTCACCCTGGAAAACAGGCACCATGACCAGTACAGTGATTCCTGTCACCCAGGAAAACAGGCACCATGACCAGTACAGTGACTCCTGTCATCCAGGAAAACAGGCACCATGACCAGTACAGTGACTCCTGTCACCCAGGAAAACAGGCACCATGACCAGTATAGGCACTCCTGTCACCTCAGACAACAGACACCTTGACCAGTATGCATACAGCGACTCCTTGCACCCCAGACAACAGGCACCATGACCAGCACAGTGACTCCTGTCACCCTGGAAAACAGGCACCATGACCAGTATAGGCACTCCTGTCACCTCAGACAACAGGCACCACGACAGTAATGAAGTCACCCTTGTCACAGTGACAATGAGTCTTTTATGAACCTTTTGAGTCTTAACCAATTGTCACTTAACTAAGAATGTATATGTATTTAAAATCAACATTTACAAAAATCAAGAAATGTTATCTAAGTGTTAATCTGCCATCAATAGGAGAGAATACTCACACATGTCACACCTATACAAACCCCATACTCAAGCTGCTCAACACAAACTAGCTGTCCAGCCATGCTTTCAAACATTCCTGAAATACTTCACCTACGTTTATCTGTTACTTACTTAAATTAAATTAAATTAAATTCGTAAATTAACCTAAATATGGTTATCAACAGTTATACAGCCTAGATATGTACCTTCATTAAATAAGAAAAGAAAGTGAGGTTAAAGCAACATTTCTACATAACCTACTTCAAATTTTGAAGAAAACAATCTGTTTTTAACTTAAATAGTCACAAGCTAAACCTGAATAGAAAATGTAAACAAACTTTTCAAAAGTTTCTTTCCATTTTACAGCCTGCAGCCTGCTTTGTTATTTCTTTTTGTATCAGCGTGAAATGAACAAAAACAGGAGGCTCAGGGGCATTAATAACTCATCTGAAATTTGATTTTCAACTTAAAACCAGCTGAACATTATACATGTTTATCTAACCATTACAAGATATATCAGCTGTAACAGGAAGTATATCCCTAATGGCAGGCAGGACATGATTGTATTCATTTCTTCATTCCTAACAATTTAAAATTACTATTGGGTGGGGATCACAACTGTTTTCATGTTATGACCCAGGAAGTAAGTTCCCAGGGACCATGACAGATGACTAGGCCAATCCCAGTAGCAGGAGTGTGTCCATCTATTCATGCCTAGCAATGGTATTCATGGTCATAGCATTTCCATGCTATCACCTAAGAAGCAAGTACACAGGGGTGGGGCTGGACCCCTGATCCAGTCCATGTAGCATGAGAATACCAATCTCTTCATGCCAAGCAATTGTATTTATGGTAATAGGTGGGGTCTCAATGTTTTCATATAATGACAAGGGATGAAGTGCCTAGGGGATGAGCTGGACCTATGTGCTAGTCCTAGTAGCATGATTATCTTGTCTTTTCGTGCCTAGCAACTAAATATATGGGTGGGAATCTCAACTGTTTACATGTAATGACCCAAGGGTAAGTAACAAGAGGTGATGCAAGACCCCAGGGTCAATCATAATAGCATAAATGTATTCATCTCTTAATATCTAGCAATTTTATATATGGTTATAGAGTGGCGATATCAATTGTTTCCAAGTTGTGACCCAGGGACAAAGGAATTCTCAAAATATTAAGAAAGAAAAAAAAAAATTCTTACAACTTGAAGAGCAATGTAAAAAAGTTGCTTTGAGCTGACCATCATGTACTGGTCAAACATGACTTTCATTTCAGTTTAACTGTAGGTTGAGTCATTTTTTTTTTTTTTATATACATTAGTGATCACAAAAACTGACTTTCTGAAATAAAATAATGCTACAGAGACAGATTGTTTGTGACAGTAACGCAGATCAAGGTCAGGCTGTACATTTGCCAGACTTCACTTAAGATATCAAATCCACTACCGACAAATATAACTTAAGGCTGAACTACCAAGTCTAACCTTGTACATTCAGAGTACACAACATCCCCATACAAGATCTAGGGAGATATAAAACAAGTGTGCTTGATCAGTAGTTTGTTAAAGTATAACATTTGTGGGTATTTCTCTTTCAGGATTTTACGATTGTTGATACTGTATCAACATTTGCTGTGGCACTTTTGATTTATTTGTGTAGTTTCATTGTACCCAACAAAAACAGTGAATGTTTCATGTTATACACAGTTCAATACTGAAAACAAAGGAAAACCAGGAAGATATAGAGTTCAGCAACATTTATCACTGGCCCATTACACAGAATAATACTGGAGAATCCATTCATATTTATAATGTATAGCCATCATATTCTGTACACTCCTGGAATAAGTTTCAATACTTTAATGTATGGACACTTTACACAGTAAATAACTGGATAAAAATCCTCATTTGTGATGTATGGACACCATACATTATATACTCTTGGCGAAATATCTTGGCAAAATTATGGCCACCATACTTAATAAACTACAGAGAAATATCAGTTTTACCTAAGTATAGCTAACAAACATTATAAATACGGTAATATAATCATATGGTTGTAGAATAGGAAAGTGGCTTACAAATACATTATAAATTGTATCATCATTGGGTTATATATAATGATATTGGCTGACAACTTAATTATACATGTATGATCACAGAGCTATATCATACAAGAGGCCCAGAGGGCCTGTATCGCTCACCTGTTTATCTAAGCAATTATGGAAAAATATTCTCCAAATGAAGGGAATATGTAGCATATCTGTATTAGATTTTTCATGCCCAGCAATTTTATGCATGGTTATGGGGTAGGGATCTCAGCTGTTTCCAAGCTGTGACTCAGAAACTAGGTCCCTAGGGTTGTGACCAGATCCCAGGATCAATTCTAATATCATGACTGCATTCGTCTCTTTATGCCCAACAATTGTATATATGAATACATGAATACTTTTGATCAAATATGATTGATATCCAGTGCATAGTTCTACAGAAGAAGTTGTTTGTAGCAAGATAGCCGAATTGTCCCCTGTTGGCCCCGCCCCTCAGCCCCCTGGGGAGTCAGCCCCACCAGTTCTACAATTTTGAATCCCTGCCTCCCATGAATACTTCTGATCAAATATGATTGATATCCAGTGCATAGTTCTACAGAAGTTGTTTGCAACAATATAGCCAAATTGTCCCCTGTTGGCTCCGCCCCTCAGCCCCCTGGGGGGTCAGCCCCACCAGTTCTACAATTTTGAATCCCTGCATCCCATGAATACTTTTGATCAAATATGACTGATATCCAGTGCATAGTTCTACAGAAGTTGTTTGTAGCAATATGGCCAAATTGTCCCCTTTTGGCCCCGCCCCTCAGCACCCTGGGGGTCAGCCCAACCATTTGTACAATTTTGAATCCCCACCACCTAGGGATGCTTCCAGTGAAATTTAGTTAAATTCAAATCAGTGGTTAGGAAGAAGAAGCCGTTTAAAGCAATTGATGACGTACAGACGACAGACGCCATGGTATGGCATAAGCTCACCTTGGTCCTTCGGACCAGGTGAGCTAATAATATGAAAGCTTACAAGAACATTATTTGTATGACCCTAGATATAGTGTTATATAATTTCTACTCAACCAATACAATATGTAACATTCAGAACTGTTGGAAGCATCAGAATGAAATCAAACATGCATACAACCTTTATGAAAATAGGGGCAACACTTTTAGGGAACAGGCTGATCGAGACAGGCCAGGAAGGGATAGGCTCATTGAAATAGCAAGGGACGATTATTTTGAGGGACACTTTGTTAGCCTGCCATTAGTCAAGAACATTCCTGTAGGTTAATAGATCACAACTCATTATCAGATAGCTTGACACACAGATAAGGAACACACTAAATAACAGATACATAATAGCTAATCCATAAATTACACTTGAATATAACCATTATATATGAAAGTGTCAGATTTGAGGCAATGTTTTTGGTTCTATGTCTCGACTAGGAAGAATTGTAAAACAGAACTGATAAACATCTTACACATACTTGTACAGAGACTTACTTGGAAAAAAAAAAGTTGTTTTGTCTTAGAAATTTCAGTGCAAATAAATATTCGAGAATTTTTTGTAGGGATTTTAAAAGAATTCCAATCAAGGACATTTAGCATTTGAAAATTTCCTTAAATAAATCCCAAGTAACACTTAAAAAAACTGTAAAGCAAACTTCTGCCAGAAAAGAGTGGTTCACACCTTGAAATGTTGGTAGAGATCTCCAATACCATACAGCAAAGACTTTTTTTGATCTCAAAATTAATGACGAGCCCTTTTTCTAGTACCTGATGCATCCCACATACATATAGGATTTGATTGCAGTACTAGGTGATAACTTAGTGACTGCATTTACATTCCTTATATGTTCTATATCAGGCATATACCAGTACAACACTCATACACATCTCTAGTCTACCAAACAAAATAAAAATAATCAAGACATCTTACGTCACTTTTGTTTTATTCATGGCATTTTATTTATAACATTCATAGCAATAGCATGCCAGTTTTATAATTAAAAAAATAATAATTAAAAAAAAAAAACTTACCATAAAACTTATGCCCATGCAATGGTGCAATACAGATAAAAACCCAAATAAATAACAGAAAATATCAGGAAAATTTAAATGAAAGGTAAATCATGTTGCCCATGCATCGATGCATACCTACAAAATGTATGTGGCCAATATTTAAACAACACGGGATGAGAGGGAGGAGGCCATGCCCTCCCTGGAGGTTCCTGTGAGGTGGTCAGTGACACTACACACGTTGTTAGTGGTCCAAGCAGCACAGGGGTGGCAGAGGGGCAAGGAGGAGGAGGCCAGGGCGGCCCCACACAGACAAGGGGCTTACCAAACAGAGCTTTGGCAGCAGAAAAGGGCCATTCACAAACATTATAAAAGAAAATAAATTTGGATTGTTAAGTAGGAACCTCTTGTGAAATGTTATTTTGTTATGTTGGTTAGAAGTGATACAGCATGAAATGATTAAATTAGATATGCATATGTTGCACACAACATTTCACAGGAAATTTTACTCAGCAAAGATACTAAATGAAATAAAACATCTGCAAAATTTTGCAACTGAAACTTAAAGAATAAGGGCCAATAAAGAAGAATGAATGTAGAATTAGCAATAACAAGCTGTAACTTTAAACAGTATAAGAGTGAACTAATTGTTAGGTTTGGTCTGACCTTGCCCAAGGGAACGCCTCTGGTAATCAGTTACCCTGCTGCCACCTCCGATAGGGTTAGTTATGCCACCAGTGGATAGGGGGCGCTTGTTGTACTGCATGTGGCCATCCCATAATGCCCGCACTTTGCTGAGGTACTCAGAAGGCCCCTTATTACTGTTCCCATCACCCAAAGAATGTAAAGCGAACACAGTGCTGTACACATCCGAGTGAACACTGCCTCCCGACTTTGGGGTCGGGGGAGTGGAGGAGCGACTAGAATTACTGTCGGAGCGTGGCGATGACTTGGCTATATCCTGTGGGTTAAATCGTAATGCTGGTGGGTTAGTATACAAACGAACAGAGGAGAAGCTACTCTGTGGTGGCAGTGCACCCACTTGTCTACGACCACTAGCATACACGGTCTGATAACCTTCACCTTGACACATCATGTCGTTGCTATGAACAATGTCATCTTCCGTACTTGAAACCGAGTGAAATGAGGGGGAGGTACTCTCAGCTATCACCTCATTACTGCCCCCACTGGACAGGCAGCCTTGGGAGGAAGTGTCAGAGCCCCGGGAGGAGATCCCCCCTGAGGCGGTCATGTATGCAGTGTCACAGCCCCTCCCCCCGGAGGACTGTGAGGGTGTGTTCGACCGCTGGGGCACAGTAACAGGCTCAGTGCTTGTCTCTTCTGAATTCTTCTGTTTTCTGGGAGGAGCTGTTCCCCTTGTAGTTTGTTGAAAATCTATAGCTGTTCAAAAGGTGACAAAGAATAAGTGGTGTAAAAATGCTGGCACTAACATGGACATATTGGTTGTGTTAGGTTACAAGGGCTTTAAGTGTCGCTTTTATACTTGTAACAGTTGAATTAAGTCAGCATGTCAATATTTTAGTCACTTATTGGGGTGTTTACATGCAGCAAATTCTCCATTACAGACATGGGTGACTGCATGTGCACTACTTGGTGTTAATATTGCGAGCGTTACAAGTTTAATGGATGACGATGATCATGCCCGATACCAAACATGTATAGCACCAAAGGTGGGGACTCACAGAACACAAGATCAACAACAACAAGTTAAAGGACCGTTCACCACACACAGCTCCTTATGGCTGCTATAATATACTCTATATACAACACTTGTGAGATCAAGCTACAATCAGTAATGTACATCTTTGGCTCTGTTGTAGTGAACAGAAACTGGTTTCATGTGATAACTTATCCACTTTTCAGTGAAAAAAACATCTCAAAATCTAACAGCTATTATCAATAAACTGACAGGTTTTTAATGGCCCTCATGTGTGAACCGTTTCAAAGAACAGGTTTGTGAGGACACAATTTGATCTCTTCATATGGTTATACTGATTAAGTTTGGTAGACTATAAGCTCCTCATGTGATAATACATCTGTGGGGACACAAGCTCCCCATGTTTACTGATTAAGTTATGAGGATGCCACCTACTGATATGATACTCAAAAGAATTCTAAGAATGCAAGTTTTTCATGTGATACTTATGCTTAATATAAATGTAAACAAAGAGAAAATGAACATATTTAGGAATGTATGTAATAAAGTACCTGTATGCATTGTCACTATTGGTAAAAAAAAAAAAAGCCAGATACATACCAGGCTAGGTGTCACACTCAAATAAAAATCTACAGAAAACTAAACAAAATCAAAGCAATATCAAACAAATCAAATCAAAACAAGGAAAAATTACAGAGGGAGAGGAAAGGCTTGGGGAACTAAAGCTACTGGCTCAGGGAACTACAGCTACTGGTACTGTGTATGATCTTTGATAGTCGCTTATTCACCTCTCAGGACCAGACAACAAACTTATCTCTAATAGTCCTAGAATCGCCTCCAGACATCGAGCATCATTCTGAACTTCATCTAAATGTATGTGTTTGGCCTTGATTTTAGGGAACTATGTACTATACAAGTCATCCATGCCACTATAAAACTAGCATCCTCATCACTTAGGCAAGGAGGCAATGAGAAGGAGGGGTAGGATAGTTCGTGGATGTACGGGCATGGCAAGGGAGGCATGGATGCATGCTGATTGGTAATAATGAATTATAAATAATGATGGCTTTAAATATTTTATATTTAGCAAAATTTTCAGCATAATTGTTTTTAGTCACAGGTAAAAATAATGATGCTAGGATAGGCATGAAGGCATTTTTAAATAGGTTAAATAATGACATCATATAAAGCAATAAAATCAGAAACAGAATAACTTCAGTCCATGTTTCTTTGTTGATAAAATTTTAAAAAAATCATCAAAAACATTAAATTTGAATTATTAAAAAAAAAAAGGTTTTGGTTCACAAGTGAACCAACTACACAACATATCATATGACACTGCCAACAGATCGTTACATTTACTGACACTGACTGTCCAATTGTAGACAACAGAGCTGTTGTACTTATGTACCAATAGATCATTAAAGAAATACCCATTATCAAAATGTTGAAATTATGGGGTATCAAAACAAAAAAAGTCTTCAGCTTAAAGCCCTATGACTGTGTCTTCTCTATCTAACAAATGACACAGATAGGTTATTTCTAATGTATATGATAATTCAAAAGTTATGAAATGAAGTATAAACAATCTTTTATGACATTCTCGGAGTGATGGGACAAAGTCTGGCTTCTGTTTCAATAAACATTTTCTTGGCTTAACTGTGTAATAGTACATACTAGTTATACCTGTACAGTAATACCTGCTGCTTAATATTGAATTTGTTCATACCTGAAGGTGATCCATGTCAATAAGCTCTAGAAAATACATTTATATCAATTTGCAAATAATAAAATCATACAGAATCAAAATGATATATCACATAAAAAAAATAAACAGAATAAAGCACTATTTACAAATTAATATTCACTTTTCATAAAGAGAAAAGCATTGAAAAGATAACATAAAATTAGGTCAGGAAGAAAGAGTGACCTTGACCTACCTTCAGGGAAAAACCAGCTGGCATGAGAAATGATGGACTCTATCAGGTTACTGATGGTCCCACTGGTCAGCATGTTGGGCCTGAAACATGACAGCATAATGATTTACATTAGTAAACAAGTCAGTCTTAAGATTGGGCCTGAAATATGACAGCATAATGATTAACATTAGTAAACATGACATCTCTCTCAGGCCTTAAGAGGTTGGCTCCTACTCACCATTGTTCTATCAAACCTTAAAAGATTGGATCGTACTCACCAATTTTCTTTCAAACTTTAGAAGTTGGTTCCTTCTGACCAATTCTCTCTTAAACCCCAAGTGGTAAGGTCGTACTAACCCATTATCTCCCTCGGACCATAACAGGTTCGGTCCTATCACAACATGAGATCATAATGATTAACATTAGTAAACATGACTGTCTTAAGATTGGGCCTGAAATATGACAGCATAATGATTAACATTAGTAAACATGACATCTCTCTCAGACCTTAAGAGGTTGGCTCCTACTCACCATTGTTCTATCAAACCTTAAAAGATTGGACCGTACTCACCAATTTTCTTTCAAACTTTAGAAGTTGGGTCCTACTGACCAATTCTCTCTTAAACCCCAAGTGTAAGGTCGTACTCACCCATTATCTCCCTCGGACCATAACAGGTTCGGTCCTATCACAACATGAGATCATAATGATTGACATTAGTAAACATGACAGTCTTCGGATTGGGCCTGAAACATGCCAGCATAATGATTTACAATAGTAAACATGACAGTCTGAAGATTGGGCCTGAAACATGGGATCATAATGATTTACATTAATAAACATGACAGTCTTAAGCTTGGGCCTGAAACATGAAAGAATAATGATTTACATTAGTAACCATGACATCTCTCTCAGACCTTAAGAGGATGGCTCCTACTCACCATTGTTCTATCAAACCTTAAAAGATTGGACCGTACTCACCAATTTTCTTTCAAACTTTAGAAGTTGGTTCCTTCTGACCAATTCTCTCTTAAACCCCAAGTGGTAAGGTCGTACTCCCCCATTATCTCCCTCGGACCATAACAGGTTCGGTCCTATCACAACATGAGATCATAATGATTGACATTAGTAAACATGACAGTCTTCGGATTGGGCCTGAAACATGGGATCATAATGATTTACATTAGTATACATGACAGTCTTAAGATTTGGCCTGAAACATGAGATACTAATGATTTACATTAGTAAACCTGACAGTCTTAAGATTGGCCCTGAAACATGAGATCATTTGTAGCAATATGGCCAAATTGTCCCCTTTTGGCCCCGCCCCTCAGCACCCTGGGGGTCAGCCCAACCATTTGTACAATTTTGAATCCCTGCCTCCCATGAATTTAAGATTGGGCCTACAACATGACAGCATACTGATTTACATTGGTAAACATTACAGTCTTAAGATTGGGCCTGAAATATGACAGCATAATGATTTACATTGGTAAACATGACAGTCTTAAGATTAGGCCTGAAACATGAGATCCTAATGATTTACATTAGTATACATGACAGTCTTAAGATTGTGCCTGAAACAGGACAGCATAATAATTTACATTAGTAAACAAGTCAGTCTTAAGATTGGGCCTGACACATGACAGCATAATGATTTACATTGGTAAACATTACAGTCTTAAGATTGGGGCTGAAACATGAGATCATTTGTAGCAATATGGCCAAATTGTCCCCTTTTGGCCCCGCCCCTCAGCACCCTGGGGGTCAGCCCAACCATTTGTACAATTTTGAATCCCTGCCTCCCATGAATGCATAATGATTTACATTGGTAAACATGACAGTCTTATGATTGGGCCTGAAACATGCCAGCATAATGATTTACAATAGTAAACATGACAGTCTGAAGATTGGGCCTGAAACACCAGATCATAATGATTTACATTAGTAAACATGACATCTCTCTCAGACCTTAAGAGGTTGGCTCCTACTCACCATTGTTCTCTCAAACCTTAAAAGATTGGATCGTACTCACCAATTTTCTTTCAAACTTTAGAAGTTGGGTCCTTCTGACCAATTCTCTCTTAAACCCCAAGTGGTAAGGTCGTACTCACCCATTATCTCCCTCGGACCATAACAGGTTCGGTCCTATCACAATTGCTATGTTACTTGATGTCATCTTGTTCAAATCACTCTTTGAAGCTAAAAGGGCCAGAAACTTTATAAGATACCTACAACAGAAGATAATAAATCAATGACTTAATGTATCAGCACATTGTCATATGCTCACATATTAGATCACATGCTTTATGAACAAATCTATACACTCCCTAGTTGACAGTTACATCAATCCTTCTACCTGTTGCTGAAATAGCCTTCCGATCCACCTATCATGTCATATGACACATCACATATTCAGTTTGATTACCGGTATGTTTTGCTAAGAACCCAGTACAATCTATGCCCACATTACTTTCAAGCTACGACATACCAAGAGTTAACCCTTGTTGTACTTTTATATGTTATATTTTTTCACCTGCAAACAGATCGCATATTCAAAACACTATTGATAGTAAAGAAAACAAAGTTTATTAAGTGAGCAGCCATTCAAAGTGCTATGTATATGATTAGGGGTATTTATGAAGTAGTTGTCTAGTTATGTCTAGGAAATGTTTGTAAACAATCACATGCCCGACCTCCCACTTTGATGGAAATAGAGCTAAGTGTTAAGTCTAACTCAAGTCAAGAAGCAAAAATCATAGGTCACAGTGACCTAAATCTGATATATTGGTATAGTGCTCCTCAAGATTATCTACATTAAAATACTGACGAATGTTGGACTACTAGTATTAGATTAATATCTATTTAACTTCTGCATCAGTCTGTGTTCTGAAAACAGTTGGCAATTCAAGGACAATGTAAGTATAGCTGTGCAACATTTTATTACATTCATTTAATAGAAACAAATTTTACTTAAGGTTTACCCTACCAGTAGAACATAATGAAAAAATCAAACCTAAAATTATTGTAGTTGTGTGCAGGAAGGTTATGTATGGAAGTCCACAAAGCCTGCAGTCTGTGGTCCTGGGGCCTGTAAATACAGAAATCAAACGTAGAGCACAGACGTCACATAAACCAGAGGTCAAATGTGGGTCACAGGTACAGAGGTCACATAAACCAGATATCAAATGTAGGTCACAGGTATACAGGTCACATAAACCAGAGGTCAAATGTGGGTCACAGGTACAGAGGTCACATAAACCAGAGATCAAATGTAGGTCACAGGTATACAGGTCACATATGCAAGAGGTCAAATGTAGGTCACAGGTACAGAGGTCACTTGAACCAGAGGTCAAATGTAGGTCACATGAAGGGTGCAAATTGTGTCATTTCAAACAGGTGGCGGTTATAACAACAGAATCTAAAACCGTTTGATGTTTCATTTTATCATCATATTACTGATTGCTGTTATAGTGATGTTATTAGGTAGGTTTTATATATATAAACAAAAGTACCGCGGGGCGGAACAATATACGCCCGTCGAATGCCATATAGTGTTATATACTTTCTTACATTGAAATAAGATCTGCATCATTCTAAGAGTGGTTAGCGTACATGCTATAAACAAGAGGCCCAGAGGGCCTGTATCGCTCACCTGGCTACCTAAGCAATCATGGCAAAATATTCTCCAAATGAGATCAAGGGAATATGCCAGACCCCAAGGCCAATCCTTGTAGCATAGCTATATTAGATTTTTCATGCCCAGCAGTTGTATATATAGTTTTGGGGTGGGGATCTCAAACGTTTCAAAGTTATGACCCAGGGGTTAAGTCTCCAAGGGTGTGGCTAGACCCTAGGGCCATCCTGGAAGCAAATGTGCATTCCTCTCTTTATACTCAGCAATTGTGTATATGGTTATATGGTGAGGATCTCAACCATTTCCATGTAATATTTTTTTTTTGGCCCCACCCCTTAGCTCGGGGGGTCAGCCCCACCATTTGTACAATTTTGAATCCCTGCCTCCCATGAATGCTTCCGACCAAATATGATCAATATCCATGGTATAGTTCTACGGAAGAAGTCGTTTATAGCAATATAGACAAATTGCCCCCTTTTGGCCCAGCCCTCAGCCCCACCATTTGAACAATTTTGATTCCCCACCACCTAGGGATGCTTCCAGTCAAATTTAGTTAAATTCCAATCAGTGGTTAAGAAGAAGAAGTCGTTTAAAGAAATTGTTGACGGACGGACGACAGATGCCACGGTATGGCATAGCTCACTTTGGTTCTTCGGACCCAGTGAGCTAAAAATGAAGGAGAAAATCTCCGGACAAAAAAACAAATACTGAAATGAACAAAGGGCAATAACCTTTGCAAAAATCATTGAATCAAAATTCCTTTATGGGAGACACAACTTCATATCATGATGATAATGTATACCAAGTTTCAAAGAGATCCGTTGAAAAATGTAGGAGGAAATTGCCGGACAAACAAAAGTTTACGCCGGCCGGCCGGACAAACCCATACCATAATACTCCCGTCAAATTTGACGGGCGTATAAAAAGTGAATGTGAAGATTATAAATTTATACCAGGTGTAAACAATCTTAGTCCTAATCATAAGTGTCCTTACAATCAACAAATCTGGCACAATATTGCTGGCAATGTTAGAGTGGACATTAAGGAATCAATTGTGACATGTGAAAGCGACTTCTGAACTGGACAGTGTGTACACTTACAGCTGTGCTGCTTGTAGGAATTCCTGGTACAGCTGGTAAGTCAGTAGAGGTTCAGCCATCTCCCTAAGGAACTGTTTCAATACACCTAAATATACAACCATACATCTAAATATACAACCATACTCCTAAATATACAACCATACATCTAAATATACAACCATACACCTAAATATACAACCATACTCCTAAATATACAACCATACACCTAAATATACAACCATACACCTAAATATACAACCATACATCTAAATATACAACCATACACCTAAATATACAACCATACATCTAAATATTCAACCATACACCTAAATATACAACCAGACATCTCAATATACAACCATACTACTAAATATACAACCATACACCTAAATATACAACCATACATCTAAATAGTCAACCATACACCTAAATATACAACCAGACATCTCAATATACAACCATACTACTAAATATACAACCATACACCTAAATATACAACCATACTCCTAAATATACAACAGACATCTAAATATACAACCATACATCTAAAAATACAACCATACACCTAAACATACAACCATACACCTGAACATACAACCATACTCCTAAATATACAAACATACATCTAAATATACAACCATACATCTAAATATACAACCATACACCTAAATATACAACCATACACCTAAATATACAACCATACACCTAAATATACAACCATACACCTAAATATACAACCATACACCTAAATATACAACCATACACCTAAATATACAACCATACACCTAAATATACAACCATACACCTAAATATACAACCATACACCTAAATATACAACCATACACCTAAATATACAACCATACACCTAAATATACAACCATACACCTAAATATACAACCATACACCTAAATATACAACCATACACCTAAATATACAACCATACACCTAAATATACAACCATACACCTAAATATACAACCATACACCTAAATATACAACCATACACCTAAATATACAACCATACACCTAAATATACAACCATACACCTAAATATACAACCATACACCTAAATATACAACCATACACCTAAATATACAACCATACACCTAAATATACAACCATACACCTAAATATACAACCATACACCTAAATATACAACCATACACCTAAATATACAACCATACACCTAAATATACAACCATACACCTAAATATACAACCATACACCTAAATATACAACCATACACCTAAATATACAACCATACACCTAAATATACAACCATACACCTAAATATACAACCATACACCTAAATATACAACCATACACCTAAATATACAACCATACACCTAAATATACAACCATACACCTAAATATACAACCATACACCTAAATATACAACCATACACCTAAATATACAACCATACACCTAAATATACAACCATACACCTAAATATACAACCATACACCTAAATATACAACCATACACCTAAATATACAACCATACACCTAAATATACAACCATACACCTAAATATACAACCATACACCTAAATATACAACCATACACCTAAATATACAACCATACACCTAAATATACAACCATACACCTAAATATACAACCATACACCTAAATATACAACCATACACCTAAATATACAACCATACACCTAAATATACAACCATACACCTAAATATACAACCATACACCTAAATATACAACCATACACCTAAATATACAACCATACACCTAAATATACAACCATACACCTAAATATACAACCATACACCTAAATATACAACCATACACCTAAATATACAACCATACACCTAAATATACAACCATACACCTAAATATACAACCATACACCTAAATATACAACCATACACCTAAATATACAACCATACACCTAAATATACAACCATACACCTAAATATACAACCATACACCTAAATATACAACCATACACCTAAATATACAACCATACACCTAAATATACAACCATACACCTAAATATACAACCATACACCTAAATATACAACCATACACCTAAATATACAACCATACACCTAAATATACAACCATACACCTAAATATACAACCATACACCTAAATATACAACCATACACCTAAATATACAACCATACACCTAAATATACAACCATACACCTAAATATACAACCATACACCTAAATATACAACCATACACCTAAATATACAACCATACACCTAAACAAACAACCATACATCTAAATATACAACCATACACCTAAATATACAACCATACATCTAAATATACAACCATACACCTAAATATACAACCATACACCTAAACACACAACCATTGAACTACTTCAGTACATCTAAACATACAACCACTTATCTGCTCAATACACAATCATTTCAATGACAATGAAAGAGCAAGAAATGTCTGCAGGCAAACATGATGGGTTGATCTCATAAAAAACTCACAGTATTAAGATTTGGAAGTTATTTTACCAAATTTTCTCTATCAATCTCCTACCTGCTACAGAGTGAGGGTCCATACTGTAATCCTCCATATCGATCACACCAGCATCAAAAGATTTCTGAAACAACAAAAATTCTTTTAATTTATATAAGCTTACTTAACACTGAATAAATAGAATATCTTGTGTTATATAATTGTGTGTTGAATTTCCTCTCAGACATGTTTACCTTCAGTGAGTTTGTTATCAATAAAGTTTGTTTCCAATGACACTCTAAATTTCAGAAAGTAAGACTAGCATACTTTATAGTGCACATAGATGATCTGGACAAGGTTGATCTCCAGAGCACACCAAGCTCACATAGAGGATCTTGACAAGGTTCATCTCCAGTGCACATAGAGGATCTTGACGAGGTTAATCTCCAGTGCACATAGAGGATCTGGACAAGGTTGATCTCCAGAGCACACCAAGCTCACAAAGAGGATCTTGACAAGGTTTATCTCCAGAGCACACCAAGCTCACATAGAGGATCTGGACAAGGTTGATCTCCAGAGCACACCAAGCTCACATAGAGGATCTGGACAAGGTTTATCTCCAGAGCACACCAAGCTCAGTCGGTTACAGCATCTATATTGAGTTCAGAGGTTCTGGGTTCACGGTCCATTTTACTTTCCTGTTCTATTATAAGTAGTGCTTGTGACTAGTCTTGTTACAAATGATGTTTTCCATTGTAAAAGGGGACACTAGGCATGAACCCGAGCAAAGGAAGAAAGATTGTAACAAATCTGGACTGGCTTATTCAAGCATGACAAGATCAGTCTTGAACAGATTCAATCACCCAATACAAGGTAACAGACCTACACTGGATTGAACACCTGTGACAAGATCATTCATTTTCTTACAGAATCCATCTAGAGTTTAATGATTCTGGGTTTAACATCAGCCTGCCTCATTGTGTTTTTCATGCTTGTTACTCAAATTCATGTTGTCTTGGGCCTAGTATCTTGGCCAAATTAAAAAGAAAGCATACTCATTATTCAATTAGGAAATAATTCCTTTCATTAGTATATTGGAATGTAATACTTACTTTTAATTTCTTCACTCGAGAAGCCATTCCTGCTATTCTAAATAATCCCTGAAATGAAACAATAAAATATATTATACAATGAACATGAGGGGAGGACAAGTTTCACTTTAACTTATTTCTTTTATGCGTCACAAACTCAATTAATACTAACTTGTGCATCATTTATTCATTACACCTTATATCCCTCGTTGGAGTATCAACACCACAACATACCTCTTCATCAAGGCCTGTTTCTAACAGTGTGAGCACACAGGCCTCTATAGGTAGGGCGATATCTCGTCCCGTTACTCGTAAATGCTCGTCCAATGTCGTCCCAAACACAGGCTTGTGTGGATTACATTCTGAAGGAGAGAAAGGTGCTGTCAATAATTAATTCAAAATTACAGTAACTTTATAATAATGCAGGATTTATAACACATACTACAGACTTTTAAATGAATACAACATGACTGTTATAAATCCTACTCAAATTATAGGTTATTTTGTGTAATGTAATTAAATGTAACTCTAAGACTTACATTAACAAGAGGCTCGGAGGGCCTGTATCGCTCACCTGGATACCAAAGCAATCATGGCAAAATATTCTCCGAATGAGATCAAGGGAATATGCCAGACCCCAAGGCCAATCCTTGTAGCATATCTGTATTAGATTTTTCATGCCCAGCAATTTTATGTATGGTTATGGGGTGGGGATCTCAACTGTTTCCAAGCTTTGACTCAGAAACTAGGTCCCTTGGGTTGTGGCCAGACCCCAGGATCAATTCTAATATCGTGACTGCATTTGTCTCTTTTTGCCCAGCATTTGTGTATATAGTTTTGGGGTGGGGATCTCAACCGTTTCAAAGTTATGACCCAGGGGTTAAGTCTGCAAGGGTGGGGCAGACCCTGGAGTCAATTCTAATATCATGACTGCATTCGTCTTTTTATGCCCAACAATTGTATATATAGTTTTGGGGTGGGGATCTAAACCATTCTGAAGTTATGACCCAGGGGTTAAGTCTCCAAGGGTAGGGCAGTCCCCAAGGCCATCCTGGAAGCATATGTGCAATCATCTCTTTATACTCAGCAATTGTATATACCATTATAGGGTGGGGCTCTCAACTGTTTCCAAGCTGTGACTAACAAACTAGGTCCCTAGGGGTACGGTCAGACCCCCGGGTCTATTTTGATATCATGACTGCATTCTTCTTTTTATGCCCAGCATTTGTATATATAGTTTTGGGGTGGGGATCTCAACAGTTTTAAAGTTATGACCCAGGGACTATGTCTCCAAGGGTGAGGCCAGACCCTATAGCCATCCTGGAAGCAAATGTGCATTCTTCTCTTTATACTTAGCAATTGTGTACCATGGTTACCTGTTATATGGTGGGGATCTCAACCATTTCCAAGTAATACACTTTTTTTGGCCCCACCCCTTAGCCCGGGGGGTCAGCCCCACCATTTGCACAATATTGAATCCCTGCCTCCCATGAATGCTTCTGACCAAATATGATCAATATCCATGGCATAGTTCTACAGAAGAAGTCGTTTTTAGCAATATAGCCAAATTGCCCCCTTTTTGGCCCCGCGCCCTCAGCCCCACCATTTGTAGAATTTTAAATCCCCACCACCTAGGAATGCTTCCAGTCAATATGATTGATATCCACTTCTTAGTTCCAGAGAAGAAGTTGCTTAAAGCAATATTGCCAAATTGACCCCTTTTTGCCCCGCCTCTCAGCCCCCTGGGGGGTCAGCTCCACCATTTGTACAATTTTGAATCCCTGACACCTAGGGATGCTTCCAGTCAAATATGGTTGATATCAATTTCTTAGTTCCAGAGCAAAAGTCGCTTAAAGCAATATTGCCAAATTGACCCCTTTTTGCCCCGCCCCTCAGCCCCCTGGGGGTTAGCCCAACCATTTGTACAGTTTTGAATCCCCACCACCTAGGGATGCTTCCAGTCAAATTTAGTTGAACTCCAATCAGTGGTTAAGAAGAAGAAGTCGCTTAAAGAAATTGTTGACGTACGTATGGACGGAACGACAGACGACGGATGCAACGGTATGGTATAAGCTCACCTTGGACTTCGGACCAGGTGAGCTAATAAACCAAGCATTAAACATTGACCATGAGACGTACCTAGTGCTTCCTTCATCTTGGGTAACATCTTCTTGACGATCTCCAGTGCCCTTCTATGGTACTCTGCCTGGACCTCCATTAACTAAACAAACACAAGCGTACAACATAGAAGGCAGACAGGACTTTCCCCTAGCTATCCTTCACAAACCTGTTTGCTGTTTCAGTAACAGGGGATTTCTCTGTCAAACCTTAGGGCATGACAACTGGCATGTAAGGAAGCATTTTATTGTAATCATAATATACACTTGTAAATAAATTAACTTTATCTAAATCTGTTTTTAAGAAATCAAGATTGACACAATTTTATTTAACAATATATATAACAAATGAAGGCTGGTTTTATATGTTGTATATTGATAAACAAATGGAAAACACTTGTGGCAGGTCATACATGAGTAAGAGGATGGGAGATTAATATAATTTTTCCCACCTTAGAGGTCAGGCAGAAAAAAACACAACCCAATCCTTTAATATTTTCAAATATATACCTTTTGAATTAAAACATAAACCCAACTGCTGACATAAGATGATGTGATTTAGACTATGGAGATTTATCTCACAGTGTTGACTTACCACTACCAGTTTTTGACTGTGCTCTGCTTCTTTTGAAATGAAGTTATACATTTCTGTAGCCAGATTGTCCTGTGAAAAAACAAACGTATATTTTTAATCAAAAATATTATTATAGAAATAACGTTTAACAGTTTTTGAGAGTATGAACCCCTATATAATGCAGAATTGACTTTCTCTGTTGACTAGTTGTTTTCTAGGTCAGGATTTTTTAAAAGATGAACTTTATTCTAACAGGTGTACATACTCTGGCTTGGCCCATCCTTGTCACAGTGTCCTCATACTCCTCCCTGATTGTGTCAGCTTTGGCAGAAGCAGATGCCATATTTGTTCCGTGGACTTGAGTTGATTTCAAAGCTGTGTTCCATCTGGAAATATTTGAACTTATAACTAGAAACCTGTTTTTGTAAACAAAAACATATATCTCCCCTCATTAGCCAATATTTGGTATAATAAATTAACAAAGGGCCATATCTCTTTATATAGTGGGGCAAGAGACCCGAATTTTGAATGCGACACTCGTACTTCCCAAAATACATAACTATGTAGGTGAAATGACATGAAAGTTATGCCGTGGACAAACTTTGGTATTAAAAAAACAAAGGGCCAGAACTTAAACAAAGGGCCTTAACTCTATATATAGTGGGGCAAGAGACCCGATTTCAGTGCGACAGATTCCGCCTTCCTAAGATAAGGGCAATAACTCTGTATATAGTGGGGCACAAGACCTTATTCCAGTGCACTGCTCACCTTCTGTGGGTGATGCAGGTATACTTCAAGTTTGATCAAGATATCTTTAACGGTTTAGAAGTTATGCCGTGGACAAACTTTGATACAAAAATTAAACAAAAGGCCATAACTCTGTATATAGTGGGGCACAAAACCTGATTTCAGTGCGAGAGATTGCAAATTCCCAAGATACATAAATATGGTAAGTTTGGTCAACATAGGTGAAATAACATGGAATGAATATCGGTATCAAAAATAAACAAAGGGCCATAACTCTGTAATTAGTGGGCACGAGACCTAATTCCAGTGCACTGCACACCTTCTGTGGGTGATGCAGGTTTGCTTCAGGTTTGATCAAGATATCTTTAAAGGTTTAAAAGTTATGGCCCGGACAAGTTGCAATTAGAAGAACCAGAAGAAGAAGAACCAGTACTAATACAATGTGTCTCCCTTCATTCAAAGGGGAGACATAACAAGACATAACTAAAACATTGCTGACATATACATTATTATACAACAGTGGATTCACCACCCTATCCAACTGGAATAAGCCATTCAAAGGTGCTTTAGGATACATAGATATGCAATACATAAAATCAATTAATGTTATTAATCAAATGTAATATGGATTTTGCTGGAACTGTTTCTTTTTTCCATAATGTAACCTCACAATGAATGTAACAGCACAAACACTGAAGCACCCACCCAGGGCCATTTTATACTTCACCTGGGTTATTGTATAGGCAGAAGGAAACAACATCAGAGAATGAACCCTGAATGTGTACATGGAAGGCTGGAATGGTAACCACTTGGCCAAATCTGCTCAATTATACTTACTTACTGATAAAATACAATGTCTAATAATGAGGTTTTACTGTCTCATTTATACATTGTAACATTACAATATCTCACAATTGACTTGCTTTTACATTAGAACATCTCACAATGATTTCTTCTTTGGAATGTACAAGAAAGATACATATATAAGTTACGCTAGAAAAGAGATAAGCTCAAGAAATACCATTTTTAATCAAGTGAAACTACAATAGTGTTGAAGTTTGCTAGGTTTTAGTAAACAATTCTTCTATTTCATCAACTGTACACACATAGTCAACATACCTGCTCCTAGCAGAATCCATGTCAAGTGTCAATTTGCTCAGCTGTTTTTTGCACTTAACAATACCAGGTAGATCATTCTGAAAAAATAAAATGTACCTGAACAGCATTAACAGGAAATATAAGGTGTAAGGCAGAAGAATTGCCAACTTCATGTGAAACCTGATTTTATATAATTCATTCCCCCTAGAGTGATCATCTATTTTGATTACGTTTAAGCAAAACATTCCACATAAAATATGTTTCAGCACGGCTGGTAACAAGGTATTGCAGTTATGGGAATGGTTGGCAATGGGTTGGGCCGAAAAGGGGCAGTTATGACACACTCAGGTTATAGGTTTTTGTTTAGTCACTTCTAAAGCCAAGCATCCTCTGTGGTGGAACTAGATAGTATGGTAGACACTAGACGGGACTGGCTGGATTAAGGCATTGCTGGATAGGGCTATGTTGTCAACAATAGGCCACACCTGGTGATTTGTTACCGTATGCCATTTGTGACCAACTACTTTTCAGTCTTCAGTAATTCTCCTTCTCCTAAGAAACTGTAAATTGCTTCCAATTTCAGATGTTATTAACACTGACAGGGATATGGTGAATATATGTTGGGGCTAAATAGGACTGGCTGGATTGAGGCTTTGCTGGACAGTGACAGGATGTTAGGGGCTAGTCAAGGCTAAACAGGGTTGGTCAAACTTGGTTAAAGATACAAAAAGTACAGTGATGGCTGGCAGAGGTTGATTAGGACTAGTTCAGGCTGGACACAAGATTGGTGCAAAATACAATGTTAGGGGCTAGATGTGAGTGAAAAGTATTGGTAGCAGCTAGATGGGGCTGGGCTTTGTTCAATATACTTGCAATATGGTAAGGACTATCTAAGGCTGGTTGGGTATGGTAAGGACTATCTAAGGCTGGTTGGGTATGATAAGGACTATATAAGTTCAGTGATTACTTTCTTAATAAAATCATCTCAGTCAGAAACAAGAGGCCCATGGGCCTAAACGGTCACCTGAGTCTACAGTATTTATTTTTGTTGTTGAAATATGTACCAATTTGAGTAAAAAATAGTATAATGTTAACTTAACTTTGTCAGGACCATGAGCTGATCATTCCTAGACCAATTTTAAGTGAGATCGGCCTATTAGAACTTAGTAGCAAAATAGC